TATATTCAAACAGGATTTCAAACTACATATCCTTCCCTTTCTCTTATTCATTAACTCTTTTATAAATTAAATACTTTATATAATTTTTAAGTATTTTTAATATAATTATTCATATATTTAATGCAATATTTTAAAATGCGAACTTTATTTTACTGTATCAGACCATTAAGGTAACAAGCAATTTTTAGATTTACATGCACTGTATTAAGTTATTTCAAATATTTTTTATTATAAAATAAAAGAATTATTAATTTTATTAATTCTCAATATTTTTATAAATTTACAATTGTATTTAATTGTAATTTACTTTTTACGTTGATAATTTATTGTCATTATTTTATTATACCGGAAATAATTTGTATTAAGATTTACAAGTTAACATTATCAAAGTTATTTCCAATAGATTTATAGCATTTATGTATTCTTAGGAAATAAACAGCTTTTTATGTTCATATAGTTATGAATACACGATTTAATTACAATATCCATTGTTTTCTCATCAGAAGGTATCAATTTTCTAACTTTTTCATTAGTCATTTGTACCAATCCATACAAATTGTAAACCAAAACAAAGAATTTGGTTTCGTTTAGCATATAATCCGTGGAATTGTATTCTTTGAGACCATAGTTGTGTCCAAACAGTTGCTGGCATTCAGTCGTGGAGTACTCAATGAATGACTTCATTTCAGACTCCAATGGAAACCCATTTTCAAAGTCATAATTACCGGAACTTATAATATATGTTCCGAAAAAGTATCCGAAATCAAAGCCACGGCTCCCATACGACGAGAAGTCAGTCACACAAAACTCGTCCATTGTCTTGAGTGACCAAAACATTTCCTCCTCTGAAGTGATTGTGAGAGAAGACTAGCGGACAGTCAGACCAATGCTTCCCAATGTATGCTATCATCCATTGGATCTCTCCTTTCAAATCAAACTCCAGTAATGACTCGCATTTGTTTCGCTCGTAAAGTGACTTCAATTGTGTTTGCTTTTTATCAGTCAAGTCATCATAAATGTGATTCAAGTGAAGTAAGATCCAGTCCTGATCTCGAGGTACCGGTGCTTTAAGAGCATGAAATCGGGCCAACTTTTGTGCCAATTCTCGCAACAGTTTCGTGTCTTTAAGGTCTTTATCATCAAATAAATGGTTTCTATAATACCGGAGCACTTGTCCATTGGGGTCGAGTCCATACAGTTGTGGTCCTAAACCTGTTTGCGAGACCAAAGGCGCTATTATCTGAGTCTTAAATCTTGTGTTCTTGGGATTCATATAATCAAAAGGATTTTGTTGTCCATTCAATCTAATGATAACTTCCGCGGGTGCCTTTCCATCAGTTATACTCTTATTGACAATTTGACACAAATATGTCATATTAACGATACCTCCGGTCATACGAGTGACACAAATGTCTTGAGGGGTCACTTGAGACCAGATTCCCGACAAATACTTGCGACACATGTGAAGGCATTGTTGGTTGAAATCAATGGGTTGTTCACTGTTTGTCATATCATTTACAGAATTCATTAATTCTGACAAATTATTTATGCCTTTATTCGTTGACATTATAAGAAATATATTATTGATTATAATATAATTATGTTTGTGTTTGACCACAGTCTGTGTGTCTTAATTCCAAATTCAATGTTTGTAACTAATTATAACTACAATTAACAGATGTTATGATTTTAGTCTATTTATTAATATTTTAATTAATTGCATTATGCTATGTTAGTAATAATTATCTTGAGGTGTGATTTATTTGTAAGGTTACTAACTTATCATATTAAAATGTGACAGAATATTTACAAACAAATATATATACAGTAATACATTCATATATTTACCACAAGAATAGTTTAACAGAATATTCTGTTCATATCATAGACTTAATGTCCAACAAGTGTTGCCGTCATTAATGTTGAGTGTATTTCAATGAACCATTTCACATCTAACTGTAATCAAACATTTCATTGACTTTTGCTCACAATTTAAGGTTTCATTCAAAGATTAGATCCAAAGAAGCGATGGCTGAAGAAGTAGTCAATATTTTCGGACAATTGTATCGAAGGGTTCGCCAAACGGTTAGCAATTTATCTCACTTTTGGTGTCATTTATTCACAGATTTTATAAATTGTATTAATTTTATGAATGAATTGAAGATAATATCCATTACTATGACGACCACTGCAGAGGGCTATCGGAAGGACTCGTTTGACAGATTCGGTGATGACTTGTGTGGAGTCATACTGTCTTACCTCACACTTGAAGACTGTTTCCGATTTGAATATCTGTCCAAACAGTGGCAGAGATCGGTGTTTAGCAGTCAGAAGAGATCCACTCTTAGATTGGATGACAAACTCGGCTTAAAGTGGATGACCGATGAGTCCGCACTGAATGACACCGATGTCAAGGCTATGCTCAAGAAGTTGCCATTCATTAGATCCATTGATATGAAGTTGCATTCAAAAGCGACTTTAAGAGTGCTTTCAATACTAATGGATTCGTATGAAGACTTGGAGATCGCTATTCAGTTCCCATTTGATCATCCATTTGGTTCACAAATTAAATCATTAGTATTGCAAACTTTACGCACATATGGCTCGCATATGGTGTGTATTGTGATCCCATATAACGCCCTATCGGTGCTCAAGAAGTACATTCAGTCATTGCCACGACTGAGACAACTGTCCACTACCCCATCCACTTATAGCCATAACTCTCCGAATATTTTATCCGTACTTTTCAACCGAAACAATGATCTGATTATTAAAGGATTGACTGATTGTACGTTTGAGTGCTTGGGTTTTGACCACAACACCGATTACAGCAAATGGACACTATTTGTCGATCACTACAGACATGGACTCAAGTCTATTGGCATTACTTTCCTTCAAAACGGTGACCACATTAAGGATGTATTGAATGATTTGCCAAAATTAAAGGCTTTGAGGAAATTATCGCTAGACTTCTATGAAAGCGGTATACCGTTGGGTGATATAGTCATCGAGTGTCTCAAACAAGTGGCCATTGAATGCCAATTCTTAAAGAGATTTGATTTGAGAAAACTTAAGATCAATGGTAAAGAAGTTCAAGATTTATGGCAATCGTTGGATGGATTCAGACAATTACGAGCTCTCGGTTTACGACTCGATTACTCAGCAAATACTAAATTTAGTGTCGATTTATCATTGAAACCGTTGTATCGTTTGACTCATTTGACACTAAAATTACCGAAGTTTTCATTGAATGAGTCCTTCTTCGACTCCATTGACGAACATTTACCACACCTTCAGAGTCTTCGTATTGTGAGCCGATTGGAGATAACCCGTGGTATCGAAAAATCTGTGAAAAAATTGCCAAAACTTCGATGTTTTGAATTCAAGACAACACTATTGATTAGAAATACTTGTGATTCCCATTGAATCCATGAAACATTGAAAATCTAATTTCAATTGGCATTTATTGCATTTAAAATCAACAATTTATTTACACTATTTCTTAAATGATTCTGGTGTAATTAAGTTGTATGCATAATAATAAATTCTGTTTATTTAGTTTGTAATTTAATTAAAATTGTTTGACTGTTATATTACAGTAATTTACAATCTTTTGTATTAAGAAAACTCTTATATTCATAATTGGATGAAAAATAATTAATTTTAAAATGTTTTGTTTAACATTCATTAATTATAACAAAATTATTATAATAAATCTAAATTAGATTATCTAACTAGGGTATTTATTATTTTATAGCAATTTCAAACAGTGAATGCAATTTTATGAAACCAATAGACTGTAAGCCTTACCCAGACTGAGGTCAGCGCACACTCTGTGAACTCACAAACATTTTGTGACAAAATCATACCATTCCTCCCATTCCTCTCAATATCTCTAGACTAAGATATTCACAAATTTGGACCCATTTTCGGTGAGTTTAGTCACAATTATAATTAGATTTAATCATTAAATATACAAATAATTAATTGAAATAAGCATTACTTCCAGTGTTTGTCACAACAGTTATAATGACTTCACAAACGGATGATTGCTTTACGAGACT